ATGGGGGAGAGGGGTTGTTTCTGTGTGAAGGGTGAAAAGGATAACTATTGCATTGTTCTGTACACCTGAAACTAACAATTAAAAAAAAAGTGGTCTCTGACTTCTGCACCTATCCTTGGTCACAGAAAGGTAAAAATTTCCCACGATTCCCAGGATTTCTGAGTAACATGGAGAAAACAACGTAAAACCAGATCTTTAGCAGCTTCCAGGCTAGTAAATGATGTTTATCAGATCAGTTCAAGGGACTGTTTGTTGGTTTACTTGTTTACTTATTTGTTTTTACTCGGCTTTGTGTCTGTCTGTAATTATGTGTGACATTTGTGTTTCTCCTTTCATAGCTTGTAGACTGTGTGCTCCAGAAGGATATTGATATCATAGGTCTTTTTTCCTACTATACTACAGTTACATAATCATTAATAAAATATCATTTTTTAATTAAAATGAATGAAACTTAAAGTGACCCATGTCTCTCTGTATGTTTGTTGGTTATTCTCTTTATGTCTCTGTTATTATTCTCTATAATGCCTTCAAATATTTGGGCATCCTAAGTTGTAGTCTCATCTAATTCCCAAAAAAATATAAGATCACAAGTCTTTAAGTCAGAGTTCATCCTTTCCTGGTCTTGGGAATGAATTCAGGGAGGTCTATGTTTCATCAAAGGAAAACTTCTTTGACTTTCTCTCTACACCCAACGATCCTGGGACCTGCCATAGAAGACTAATATAAAGGGTATTAGGATAACAATATCTTTTATAAAGCCATCAAGAGGGTACATTTGATTGACATCCTCAAAGTTTTCTCTCTTCTCTTTTCATCCTTCCTTATAGTACAGAGATGGAATGGAGAGATCAGAGAAAGAACTTACAAGATATAAAGGACTGGGAACTTCAGTTTCTCTTTGATGGAGTTAGTCCTATGAAACAGAGCAGAGCTCTGGGATCATGATGGTCCCAGCTGAACATCTGAAGGGTAGGGTCAAGGGAGGTAGGGTAGGGAAACTTTCCTGATAGATCAATTTAAGGCCCTGCTCTGATTCTTATATTCACATGAGCTTCAACACAAGAGGCAAGGTCCTGGGAATTCTCTAAAAAAACTGGAGCAAAAAGGCCACCCTCCCTATCTCTTCCTTCCTATCCATATATGATGTTTAAAAATAAACACCTTCCTGGTGACAAAGTTAATGCCCAAACCAAGACACAGGATGAGACCCTGGAGGACCACTGTTCCAAAGCTCCAAATCCCCAAGTCTGGGAGAACAGAGAAGGAGGGAAGAGGCAGAAAAGGACCTTGGGGAGAACCTCCTGCAACAAATGCTCCTTGAAATTTAGCTTCTGGGTATGATCTAAAGAGGTGATGTTAGAACCAAGAACTTGGCCAGGCTCAGGGTTCCAGGGTCACATCTGTGGCACCAATGAACAAACAACTGATAAACAAGTCAATAAATGGCTCTAGTGTGTCTTGTCCTGGAAGGCTCAGAATTGATAACAGGGTATGGCAAGGTAGGATGGGGTATAGAGAGTTGGTTTATTGGAACTTACAGAAAAAGGCAGCAATATATCAGTCAAGAGGTGATGGGGCATAGAAATATATCCCAAAGGCTCTCCAAAAACATGACTTCTGAATAGTCTCCTCTTACAGATTTTGGAACAGGGAAATGCCAAAATCTGCCTTCCACTCCCTAGTAGGCAGGTATATATTGAAAGTAAAAAGCAAAAGATTCATGGAAATAGAGGCAGATATATCTGGTGTGATTCAGGACTCTGAGAAGGATTATCTGTTTCCTTCGTTGCTGTCTTCAGCTGTTTAAACCAGCTTCTATTTGGCCCTATATGTTCCACCAAGTATTCACTCCCCAAGAGCTTAAAACAGGTTGAGGAGAGGAGGCACTATAATGACCAAGGACATAGACTAACAGAAAAAAAAAATTTCAAATAGACCAGCCTCAGCTTAAAGCAGAGGCAGACATGGAGGACTTTGATATTTGATACTCTGCTTTAAATTGCTGAATATTTCCAGAAGTAAACTCAGTATCCATCCATAAATAAAATCTTTATTATATCATAAGTCCACAGAAATATCTAACCTGACAGATATCTAACCTGTCTAATACCTAACCTAACAGAACCTGAGGAACTGGTGGTCATTCAGAAACAGGTTTGGTGCCATGAGAGAGGTGTTATGAGAGCCTCATTGGTGTTTGCAAGCTAGAAACCATGGGATTATACAGTACAGAGTGATGCCAAAGACAAAACATGGTTCCACCCTGGTAATATGTTATCAGAGTTATGTGGCAAAAAATACTGTGATGCAATGCATTCAGATAATATTAGACTAACAGCCCAATGTATTCTGACCTTCCAGTCAGCAACCATTTTCTCCTGTATGCAGAGGAGTGGATATGGGTTTACTACTATAAAGAAGTCCTTTCTTAAAGCATATTCATATATTAAAGCATGAGTGAGATACACATGTCATCTTGTTGCCCTGACAGGGATCTGGGTGTGAATCTGCTACTGGCTTCATGCCATTCCAGGTACACTGAGATCCTGGTGAGACTTAACATTGTAATAAAACATACCTGGTTGGATTCAACACAGGCCGATACATTTAAATTACACAGTTATTTTTCTTTTATTTATATGTAACTTTAAAGGGCAGTGGTTATGGTCAGGCATCACCTTCACTGAAATAAACATTCTCTATAACATCACAAATGCTCAGTATATGCTGTTGGGATGACAGGATGAGGTTTACGCCCCTGAGCATTCTTAGAGGGCCTCTGCCTGCTACTCTAAGGCTCTGAGAAGTCTGATTTTGGCCATAGAGGCATGAATATAAGTTGGAGAGCAGAGGCTCAGCATCACCACCAGCACTGGGAACCACAAGAGTTGAAGCACTGCTAGGTGCTAGTTAGAGGGAGACTTAGGATCATCAACCAGCCTGTGGAGAAGCTAGTCAATCAACAAGCTTGTGGGCCACGTGCTAACACAAGAGTGCCTCAGGGACATGCACCACTTGTCCAGCTGCGCACTAAGGATGAGATGACTTAGAGGTCAGCCCAAGAGGGCCAGATAAGAAAAAGTGAGTGAAAAGGGTAAGACAATCCTTAAATGGGAAAATAAAGGTCAGTGGAATAGAGGGGAAGGAAAATTTGTGAAGTCAGTATAGAAGACAAGGAGCGAGCGCCAGGGAGACAGGAGTGAGGGTCAAACCAGGAGCCCAAGGGAAGGTCTGTCCGTGTGTAGGATGTTAAAGGAAGAAGAGAAATCAAGATGTTCCCCTGGGACCTGAAGTCTCAGGCATAAAATATTAAATTCAGGCAAATCTTCATCAGTGGCTAACCCCTAGGAGTTCCTGCGCATGCAGGGTTGGGAGGGTTGAGGTGGTGTGCTATGTGAGCCATGGGACAACAGGCCCAAACTTTCAGCCCCTCCCAGCACTTGGAGTCTTATCTCTTGGGCACAGCCTTATGGTC